TGTGAAAGTTATGGCTTTTACTAAAGACTGCTGAAAATCTTGGACTATTTGTATGGATCATTTTCTCTGTAATTTTTGGTTTTGTGTTTGGCAGTTGAGTAGTTTTTAAGCTCCATAATCAGCAACCAAACACAAGAGCAAAAAGTAATATAATTTATCTGTACTGTCAGTATTTTGAGTTGTTACATGGTAAACAAGTATTATGGTAAATGCCAAGTATTGTATGGAGTAAGAATATTTTGTAGCATGATGTAGATCTTTACTTTATAGAAGAGTGGTTATAGTTACTTTAGATACATGGAGTCACAGCCATGTACATGGATTTTCTTGCTGTTTTTTTGTTAGTGTTGGGTTTTTCCTTTAATGATGAACTGAAGAAAATGAAAATATTTTTATTTTACCTGTAAAATGTACTTTAGGATTTTTACTTCAGAAGTGCTTCTGTTATTACTAGTATACTAATTACAATAATTCATTATATGATGAACCATATTTTTGGTGTCGAAAGCTTCTAACAACATGTTTATCAGTATGGATGCAGTGCTCAGTATGGCATTATCAGTGGCTGTAGTGATGTGGCTGTAGTCAAGTGACCGGCCTCAGGTTTCAGAGGTTTCTTTATGAGAATTTAGGACATGTAAGTATGGGAGGGAAAGAGCAATTTAAATATAGTGTTATTTTGTCCCAATTGTAGCTTATTAATGCACACATTTATATGGTACTTGTTACAAAAGGTCCAGGTGTTACGCGAACCACTGTCATAAGCTGAATTTTGGGTGGAGGACAGTAGACAGTTAACATGGAATGACAGCATTTTTGTGCTTTACTGCTTCTCTTCTTATCAATCATAATAAATGATTTTTTTTCTTTGCTTCAAGTAAACATGGTTGTGCTCTTCAATAGGGTCAATTTTATAAAAAGCACCCGATACCACTACCACTTTCTTTGCTCTGAGAATATTCTCCAGTACCCTTAAAATATGCTAGGGTAGAGTACTGACTTAAAATGCAGTCTTTCCAAGAGGAAGGACTGCAGGCTTTGTGATCTAAGCCAGGCAAGTAATAAAGAGTAGTCTAAAGACTGAAAACCTAGAATAAAGTTTGTATTTCTAAAGATTTATTTGAGAGCAAGCTTCAAGATTAGGAAAAGATAGAACTGTCATATAGGTGTGTCCAGATGGGAATAATACTTAGTAGGGAGTTTGAAGGTTACAGTGGCCAGGAGCTGGCAGAAGAAGTGGGACAGCAGGAGATTGGACATTGCATTGATTTGGAACACTTGCATAGCCTCAGACTTGTCTGGGACCTCATTTTCTAGTCTCTCGGAGCTTAAAGCCAGCCTTTCCTTGTAGATAGCTTTGACTGTGGAAACTGATGGTTGGTTAACATTGATAAATTATTATCAAAAAACTAATAAATTCATCAGCAAAATCAAAGAAAAGATTGATCAAAAGTGTAGTAACCAAGTTTGATTGGCCTTGACTGTTAAAGAAAAGGACAATTAATTGCCAGGCTGGCTAGATCAGGGTATTGCAGGGATCCAGTGAAACCATTCCCCCTGCTGAGGAAGCAGGGAGACATGAAACAAAGAGACCTGGGGTGGTGGAAAAAGGTCTACCTCCAAGGACCTGTAACTAGTACTGCTAATATCGCAGCTGATTCATTGTAATTCGGCTATTTAATGTGTTTGGATTTACAAACACTTGGAAGGAAAGGATCCAAAACTGGTTAGTTCTCAAATGCAGACTGGGCTGACACAAATACATCCATCCAGAAGTTGGGAGATGGAATTTGGAGGCTGGGATGTGAGGTTAGAGAAAAGAAGAAATCTTCATAGTTGACGTAGTAGATGCTCTTAAAATTGATTTAAATTTCATTGCACCTAATAACAGTAACATCAGGGCTTATGATTTCAGTCCACAGAAAATTGCCTTAGCAATGGTGAGATAAATGTTTTGGGAACAATTGATGCATAACAAACAAGTTATTCTCCCCTTTGAGTCCAAATAGTGTTGAACAGCTGTGTGCAGGTTCAGTTTTCCAGTAGAGAAAGCTGGAAAATGTTGGGGAAATCTTAAGGCATGAACTCACATGTGATGCTGACTAAATGCAGATGGCTTTAGTGGTTGCTGTCTTCAGTTTTATGCTTTGCCTGTATCTCAAAGGCTGCTGCTGCTGCAGTACTGGCTGAATGATATATGAAATATGTGTGTTTACATTTATGAGCCAAACTATAAAAATGGAACAGAGTCACATAGCCAACACTTGTAGCTGTTAAAATTCTTGTGGCTGGGAAATATGAGTGGAAGTTCTTCCTTGCTGGATGCAGTTGAGGAGCAGTAAATAGTAAAAATGGCTGTCATTCAGAATGGGCAGAGAGAAAGTCCAAAGTTTGTTTTATTTGGGCTGTTATCCTGGTAAATTGGATCAGGAAGAAAAAAGGATTCCAGTAATTGCAAGAGTTTGGTTTAGCATAGGTAGAAATTGCAGGGATTTTCATGACTATTCCTATTCTTTGCCTGCTTGTGAAAAGTTCTACCTTAAGCACGGATGCCAGTGCTGACAATTTTGGGACATTGTAAAATTATCTGGAGCAAGGGCTAGATTTCCAGAACAGCAGTGCTTATCACTGTAGAGGGGAGAAAACAAATCAAAATAACTAGAAGTTAGTTACAAACTGCTTGGGGAAACTTTGTGATTAGCTCCGGGTCTGTACTCTGACATCTTGACACCAACTTGGCAAATACTTGCAACAACTGCTGTAGTGAGATTTTGCAATTCTGGAGAGGCCTGGATGGGAACATGTTAGTCCTGTTGCCACACAGACAGAAGAGCTTTGTTGGAAGGCTGATTGCAAACACTAGGGATCAGCTTCTCCATCTTATCAGGAACTTTTGCTCATTTTGTCCTCATATGTTCCAGAAATGCAGATAGTAATGGTTTGTTCACAACTGGATAGTCACAGGGACAGTTGGTGTAGTGTGGTAGGAATGGGCTACAGAGCAGGCGAAGCCTTCTCAGATACTAGATTTTCATATTGGGATGTTAGGTAATTGGAAAATCATCTGGCAGTGTTGGTCTTGAGAAAGTGTAGCATCTCCGTGTCAACCCCGAGGAAGGGTCTTCTGAGCCCAGAGGAATTTGGCATTCTGAGTGAAATGCTCCTCTGCAGGCACAAGGAGCTAATGGGTGACAGATTAAGAATTCAGCTGATTATAGCAGACATCCAAGACCTTTCCAATACTTGATGATGACCATATGGCTGCTGTGCTCTTTGCAGAAGCCTTGGCTGGAGGAAAGAAGGATTTCTACAGATATAATGAGAATGCAGCAGGAACCATCATCAGTGTTTCAGTTCCAGGCACTAATGTGTTGCAAAAGACAGTTGTGAGAGTTAAGCTGTTGTGTGGCGTGGGAGAGTGTTCATCAGCATCTGTGTGGGTCCTTGCATCAGCCAGAAAGCAGCTGTGAACCTTTTCATGGGCAAGTTCAAGGTTTGCTCACTAAAATATCAAGAGCCTTTGACTGTAGTGTAGTTTGCAGTTAATGAACCTTCCACCTGATGTGTGAGATAGGATTCCAGAAAAGGGAGTGCACCCAGCACATCCTGTTCCTCTTAGAGACTTACTGACCAGCAGTTGATGGGAAACAGCAGGTAGCTGACCACCTATTATCTTGGGCTTTAAATTAGACTCAACCTGATCTGTTCAGTTGAGCTCCTGACAAGGCACAGAGATATCTCCAGAGACCCAGAAAGCAGAATATGGGGTGGGGGAGAAGTGCCCTTTTGTAAGAATGAAATTAACTTGATCTGTAGGAATTGAGAAGATGATTTTGGATGATCAGTCATATGTTTGAAAGCAAACGTTTTCAAAAAATTGTCTTGTTTTGATTCCACCCACAAGGTGGAAATCCCACAAGGATTTCCAGCCCACAAGGGTGGAAAGCAAAAGTCTGCTAAATGTAGTGGGTTTGGTAGTTTTATTTTGGTGCATTGACTTCTCAGAAATTTTACCTTGTGAGAGAGTTACTCTTGGGTAGAAAAGACAGAATATAATTTTTACAGACCAAAAAAAAATTCCTTCCTTGCCTAAAAAACCCCCCACAACTCCTTGAGCAATGGATCACTGAATCCTGGTTCCTGGTGGCATTTGCCATTGTCCAAATCTTCTGTTCCTTTCCCTGAAAAAGGAACTTTTTCATTTTTTTTTTTCCTTTCTCCTTTCCCTTATTACCCCTTCTCCGTGTCCTCTCCTCTGATGTACACAGGTTCCCATGGAGACCAGGCTGAGGCAGCAGTGGGCCCCTGTGCCATCATGCTGGTTCAGGCACCCAGCACACCTGCAAAACAACTCCTCTCCCTCCCTTCCTCTCTCCCTTTCTCTCCCCTACCATCCTACCCCTCTGCACCATTTTTATGCCAGTTTCCTAATTATTTAAAATATTTAGTTTTTAATCTGACCAGGAAAAATTTAGGATCAGTCTTTTGGAGAGAGTATGGGAATGTTAATAGTGTTAAGAAGAAAAAATGAATTCACATCCCTTAGTTCCAGTTCACAGTTTTTCTTTACCCTACAGAGACTAACATATGTTGATAATCTCAACCCAGTTTTGCATCTCTGTCTTCATCCAAGAAAACCACCCTAAGAACACACTTCACTCTAAGAATATGAATAGTTGAAATTCTGAAAAATAAAAAAGGAACAAAGTCAAAGTTAAACAGAATCACAGCAATCCTGAAAATTTTATGCAAAGATGTATTCTCTTTTCCCACTTCTTTTCCTACTAACACTGAGTTAGTTTTCTTACAGAAGCCTCTTGATATTCTCAGGTTGCCAGAAGACCAATACTTGGAGAACTCTGTGCAGTGGCTTGTTTTTGTTACTGTGCTGTGCTGGCTTAGGATTTGGGCTGGTATTTAAAAAACAAAAATAAAACCACACTGAAAAAAAGTTAATTTTTTGTTGATGTGTTTCCTGCCTCCCACTCACTGTGTTTCAGGAAATCTTCAGAAGAACTGGACATGGATAAAGTAACAGCAGCCATGGTACTCACCAGTTTATCCACCAGCCCTTTGGTCCGCAGCCCTCCTGTCCGACCCAACGGTAAGCTTTGCAGCCAGGGGCTGAGGGGAGGGGTGCCAGGGCCCTTTATTGGGGGGCTTGTTTCCAGGAGTTGTGGCCGTGGTGGAGAACAAATGGTGAGTGGCTGTCTTCTGGTCTGTTGGGGATCATACTGAGCTTTGCTCCAACCTATCCTTTGCCAAAGGCTTTGGTGCAGCACTGGCAGAAATGGAAAGAAACATTTTCTTTAACTGTAGAGCAGCTGTAGTTTATTAAATGGGAGAAGCCCATTCCATAAATGGGATATGAGCACTTCAAAAAGTCTCTTGACATCACTGAAACACTTAATTTTCCAAAGCATTTGTTTGCATTTGCACACATACAGTCCTAGAATTGCAGAATGGTTAGGATTGGGAAAGACCTCTAAGATCACCAAGTCCAGCCATCAACCTGGCACCACCACCATGTTCACCTCTAAACCATGTCCTGAGTGCCATATCCAGGAAACATGATAGCAGCTGTTCTTGTCATCCACTCCATGGAAATGAGATCAGATTTTACCCAAAGCCACGATAAGGCAAAGCACTTCCAGATCACAGCCCATGGCTGACAGGCCGTGCAGTAGCAATCTGCACAGCAAGCAGTCTGCTTCTCTCTGCACCTCCAGTTCCTGTGCTGTGTGTAACTCTCTGGTGGTCTTCCATCAATTCCATAATCTGTTTAAAGACTACTTCATTCATAGTATAGCAGAAAACACGCAAATGAAAACACATATAAAAAGTTTCAGGTAATGAAGAGATCAATTATGAAATATAATTATCATCTACACAAGATTGACTAGAGTTACAATAAATTTTTAGGAGTGTTTTATTTTAAGGCATAATTTAAATTAGGATACCCTTTTTAGGGTACCTCAGCATTGTTTGTATGACTGACTTTTCTTACTCACTTGTAACTGCTAAAATTACCACTAAATGCTCTCTTACTGTCAGTAATTGGAACATTGAGAAGTACTTGCTTTTCTTCATAGAAACAGGCATGATCCACTATATGATGTTCTTAAAGGAATTTATAGCAAATGTCAATGCTGTGGTTTTTCCATTTATTTTCAGAAAATGTAAGTTTTATCCATTTAGTTGGAATTCTGGCCATGAACACCCATGGCCTTTGTTCATGTGCTTTCCAGTGTTGAAAGCCAGAAGTGTTTATTGGAGTGCCACTGCTCTGAGGAGCCCTGGGAAACCTCAGACAGTGACATCCCTGGTGACTGTCACACCTCAAGACTGGATGTTGCCAGTCCCTGGGAAAGGCCAGCAGAAGGGTAAAAGCACACCAAGCACACCTGCTCTCCAGCTGCTCAGCTCACAGACAAAACCACAGCTGCAGATGGATCTGTGCTTGCTGTGGCAGGCAGGGATTTGGTGTGGCCAAGGCATACACGTGTCCCCTGCTGCATCCCTGTCCTGGGGAGCTGCTCTGCTGTGGGTGAAGCAGTGTCTGCCACCTAAGACAGTCTGAGCAGGTGACACTTGTCAGGAGCAGCAGTGTGCATTAGCTGCAGCTGTCAATTGGAAGGATCTTCCAAACAAGCCCTTTTGAATTGCTAATAGGCAAATGGTGGCTGTTTAACTGCCTTTGATATTTCTCAGCACAGTCTAAGTGCCCTTTGATATTTCTTCATATAGCTTGTCTGCTTGTTTCCCAAAATCTGGGAAGACTAGCCTGAAAATGTAACTCACATGTTTTCAATAGTCACAGACAAGATTCTGAAGCTGGTTTTGGGCACTTTCTCCCTGAATATCTTAGTTTTGCCTTAGTCAAGGCTTACTAAAGACTTGAATAGAAGTGTAAAGACTGGATAATTTAAAGCTTATTTGGTATTGCAAGGCTAGGCTCTGATCCTAGTAATACAAGCAACATATGTATTAGTGAATAGTTTTTTCTACATGCTTTTCCAAAAAAGGGCAATAAGTAGCAGTATAATTAAAGGACCATTTGTTAAAACAAATGGAATTTTGCCTAGAAGTAAAAAAAAAATAACATTAGCATTAATATTAAAGTCAGATCTGTGCTGGAATTCCTGGGAATGATCACCCATGTAAACTGGATCAGAGTTTGGCCCTTGTTTCTCTGCAGTTGAATAATATTTGGTCTGGTTCTCTTTCACGCAACTCCAGCAGTGTGAAAAGAGCCCCAAAATAAGAGTAAGTTGCATTTATTTATATATTAAACTTCTTTACATTAACAGATTTGTTAGTATGAATGAGAACCAGTGTTTGGTTTTTCTCTGTCGTTAACCTCATTCAGTCTTTTCCATGCTACTTTAAAAATGCTCTTGATTTGCATCTCTTTTTCAGCAAGGTGAGGAGAAGCTGTACATACTGAGAATACAAATAGCATCATAACTGTTTCAGAAAGTAGTAGCTGAAAGAGTATTCCTTTGTTTTTCTAAAGACATGAAAATTTTAAGCTATGCTAAGGTCACAAGTTGATACCAGATGTAATTTTTGGCTTTGGCACAAGACTGAAGTACCAAATATATAAAAGAAACAAAACCCACCTTTTTTACAGTCACATGAAGGTTGTAATCATGAGACAAAGCATGACATTTTCACATGTTAACTTCAGAGCTGCCAGAATGTGTATGTTTGTCCATCTCCAAAGAGGAATTGGGCAGGCTGGAGGGACAGGATGAATTCCATTTATGCTGTGTGGGGCTGATCAGTAAATCAGTACTACTGGAGCAGCTGCCTACTGAAGGGGGCACTGCATTCTGTTTTTTTGAGCAGCTGATGTTAGTCATTAAGGATTTTGTCCAAAACCAACTCAATTAGAAGAAAAAACCAAAAAAATTCGCTCGTTTGGGGGTAAGCTTTTGATAGCTCACTTTCTTGCCATTATCATTAGTTAAACTTATCTGTAAGAAATTCAGAAGGAATGAAGGAGTGACTTCTGCAGATCTTTTCAAGACAGGCACTGGCTTGAAAGGACTTGTCTCACACTTAAATAATGTTTCATTAACAGATAAGATGTTATTTACTTGCCAGTTCCAAAGTTGCACAATACTCAGGCACCTACAGTGTCATTGGGAAAAGCTTCCAATGCCTGAGTTAGGGAGAAGCTGCACCTAAACCGTCCCTGCGCATTTGCCCCAGCCCTGTGAGAACCTGCGGGCTCAGGCAGAGCTGCCTGTGGCTGCTCCTGGATGTGCTCAGCCATGCCTCCACTGAGCTGATGACCTGCATGCTCCTGTGCTGCCAGCAGCCCTTTAGGGACAGCGAGAGTGACATGCAGGTGTCTAAAGCCTGAGGACCTCTGCATGTGAAGCGTGGCTCAAGCTGTGCCTCAGACTGAACTGGCAGTGCTGTTATGTTAGTTCCAGTGTCTTCTTCCCATGTAATAGAAGGGGAACTGTGGCACTGAGGAGGCAGTTCCTCCAGCGAGTGGCTGTGGGGGTGATCCATTGTCTGTGTGTTCCCCTTGTGAAACCAGATGCCTGCACACCTGTATATCCCAAGGGATACATACCACCTCATGTAGAGGTTCAGATTAGGCAGAGGCGTGTCTATTGAGAGATTGTGAGAACACAGAGTGTAACTATGGTTTTCTTTGGTGTTTTAATACTGGGAAGATGGTCATGTTTTTCTGGATCTGCTTAGTGTTTTGGGGCTCAGAGTGTGTGTCCCTTTCCCAGGGGATTTCCCATTGGCTGTACAGTGGCTTGGAGCTTGCTTTGGTGCTGCACCAGAGTAATGTGTTCTTGTTGAAAATTGAGGATGTATTTAGAATCATAGAATAGTTTGGGTTTGCAGGGACCTGTAAAGGTCAATTTAAATATTTTCCTTAAATCATGCATGCAGTATATGACAGTTTATTGCTGTTTATGCTTCAGAACAGGTTATCTTTTCAAATGCAGCATTTCTTTTTAGAGAAATACTTTGCTGCTTTTGTTTGTTTGTTTTAAATAAAATAAAAATCAAATCTGTAATATGTAATTTGTGTGCAGTGGGTTAGATATGGTTGTCCTCTCTACATCCAATGCTTTCACATTCCTTTACTGAATGTGCATTTAATTACCAACATGGCATCTAAACCTTAGAAAAAATAGCTCCTTAGCTCTCTCACGATGATACTGTTGTAATAATACCTTTTGTTGTTCTTGACAGAATCCCTGAATGGATCTTGGAAAGAAGGAGGATTTGTGCCTTCTAGTACCAGCAGCAGTGGATACTGGAGCTGGAACGCTCCCAGTGACCAGTCCAACCCATCCACCCCATCTCCACCTCTGTCAGCTGATAGCTTCAAAGCTTTTCGGACACCTTCCCAGCCAGATGATGGTATTGATGAAGGTGAAACAAGCAACCTTCTCTTCGATGAACCCATTCCTAGGAAGAGAAAGGTTAGCATTGTGTTAAATTCCACATCCACGGGTAGACAGGATGTTGATACGCTTATTTTGTTGTGAGAAAGGAACAGGTCACCCAGATAGCTCTGGGTATTTGTCACGTAGTCACTGTGTCTCATTCAACGTGGTCACCTCCTGCACATGCATGCTGCCATCAGTACCACATATTTCCTGCCAGATGGTGAGGTGCTACAGAACCTCCTGCTCAGAAAACACTAGAGGGATTTCCAGAAGGTGTTGCCTCTGGCCATTCAAGGGTTTTCTATCCTACTTTGACAAATTCTCTGTGTGCAGGATGCAACAGGCAGCCTTTACATGTCATCACAAAAACTGACTATGGCCTTAATACTCCTTGTTCCCTGAAAGTGCTGTTTGTCTGACAGCATGTCAGATACCTTAATACTGTGAAGGTTTCTCTGCACAAACATATGGAGTGAAAATGGAGAGAGAGAGCTCAAACCTCATGGCTTTTGATACAGTATTAGCATTAGCCAAATGTATCCTCAATTGGAGTGCATAAGCAGGCTAAATAAAACATGCTATTCAAAAAAGGTCCAGAACTAACCCCAAAAAAGCACCATTGCTACTCAGCGAGCTTCTCTGGAAGAAAAAGAAAACAAAGAGATGGCACTAGTCCAATTTTTCTTCCCTCCCAACACAACAGGACAGATTTTACATAGCAAGATGCAAAAGGGCTTTTTGTAAGGAGAAAAAGCAGAGAATTTATTCTCTTAGTTAATTTGTTTCTGGCTCCGTCTGAGACAGTTAATTGCTTCATCACCAGCAGGAAGAAGTTTCAATGATTGTTTAAACTTCTTCAGATTTATCCTCTTGCTCCAGAAGCTGTTTATTTGCTGACCCATGCAATTGTTCCCTTGTTCATGGGAAAGGGGTGGAAATGTTTGTGCATCTTACTAAAAAGGAAAAAAGTATTTTGGAGGACACCTTTGTTGTAATAAATTAGATGGTGGAGCTGAGTATTGCACTAAACAGAGAGACAATTTGGGGGGGTGTGGGGCAGGAGTGCAGAAGTGTCCTGGTTTGCCTTTTACTTCTCAGGTAACCTTCATCTTATTAGCACCACTCTTACTGCTCAGCTGTGATGGGACAGATGGGTTTGCAGCTGCCATCTTTATTGTTTTCTAAGCTGCTTTCAAATATTTCTATTTATGTACTCACCATAGGTTTATTACACTATCTGTTCTGGTTCACAAGGATTTAGCTTTGTATGGCAAATGTTTTATTTAGATAAACAGTAACATTCCATGCCAAACTTCTTTTATAAATTAACTTGCTTTCCTGCAGGTTTTTTCTTTATTTTGGTTCCAGCATGGTATTTGATCTGAGTACAAGTTAGGACCTTTAGAAGCTGAAACAAAAATGTTCAGGTTATTTCTTCTTCAGGACTGCAAAAGTCAGGAGGAGTAAACCTGGAAATAGAGTGATTGGTAACCTTACTGTTTGCTTAAAAGTTTCCTCTAAGGTAGTTATTCCTCACCAAACCATTTATGTTCCATTATTTTCTTAAATAAAACATTAAACCTGAATAGGTAATTTTTGGAAAGGAAATGGAAGAAGTGTAATCGTATTCTTTATTTCTACTGAGTGAACTTTGTTAAAAGTGCATGGGTTTTTGCAAACTCCTACCAGTGACAATAAATCCAAAACCACAGTGCAGCTAAGGAGACTGATTTTACCATCAAACTGGGGATGCATGTTAAACTATTCTATTATGATGTCATATTGGAATTCCTAGGATGTCAGTTATAAACATGGCCTTCATCTTGTTGACATAGTTGGTGATTGGTTGTGTAATTTTCAGCTGATAATACTATTAAGTATTATATCATGGAAGTAAGAAAAGTATTAATTAGAATTGCTAGTTAGATTATATTTAATTTGAGAAAAGAAAGAGTTTTGTATCTGCTTGACTGATAGTTGCATTATCAAATAAAAACCAGGCAATTTCTGTCCAATTTATAACAGACAGAAGTTTTACAAACAACCAGTATGATCAGGTACCTCAAATCTCAAAGCCCTAAGCATTCAAACTTTAAAACAGGAGATGTTAGACTGCAGGGAACTATGAGAACATGCTGCTACAATCAACTTATATTTTAAAAAGCCCATCCACTGAGATTCTTTTTAAAGTTATATTATGATCATCATCTTTCTAGCAAATGCTGAAACCATCTACTGGCATGCAGTTCCAAGAGGTCCAAATTGAAGAAAGCACCAAGTCAGCTTTTGTTCAAGGCACAGTGAAATGTACTTAACCCTAAGGATGTGCTTGTCCCCCCCACTTTTTTTTTAATTGAGTTTTATATTAATATATTAATTTAATCTTATATGTAACAGAAATTATAGAACAACAATACAGTATTCTGATGCTCTTCCTCATGTTAATAATGTGTTCTGTAATAATAGAGAAAATTATTTTTAAGAATTACAAGCTATTTAAAATTATTTTTTATTTAAATTGTACAAAATCAGTTTCATTTTGGGGTAAAATTAGCTTTTAAATATCTCTAGAGTTTGTAACATTTGTGTTGTTTTATGTCCACTTTTCTCCAGAGTCTTCAAAATGTTGGAAGATTGGCCTTGTAACAGCTTTGTTGGCTGTGCTCTAAATCAATGATATCTCATTGGGGATCAATGAAATTATAGTAAAGAATATAAAAAGAATATTTGAATGAGATTATACCTGTATTTTAAAATATTGAACACAGACTGTTAACTTCTCATTCTCTTATCTGAGTAAGGTCCACAGCAGCTTCTGAGTGAAACAAAAGCAGATTGTGCCAGCTCATGGAGAATGTGAACATAACAGAAGCTGTGTTTTTCTGGCACAGTATTTTTTTATGCTGCACATATCATGAGCAGAAACATTCATAAGAGCTTGCTTTGGAAAGATCTTAATTTAAGAAGGTGCCTTGAATTAAGTCAGTCCTCATCAGGGTTTTTTTGAAAGAAGTATAGGAAGGTTTTATATCATTTACCTCCCTTAGTGGAGGAACTGAAACTTAAAAATGGAAAAGTTGCCAATAAACAGAGGGAAGTAAAGTTTTGTCACAAGCTGCTCCTGCAGCTTTTCACTGGATTCTCTTGAATTCAGTAGGGTTACACATTTGACAAGAGATGATTAGATCATTATGAATTTGGAGTCAAAGGCTCTGAATCTTCACAGTGTTTTGTAACTGTTTATCTGGTTTGGGTAGTTTGGAGTTTTTTCTACCTTCATAGAATTACAGAGTCACTGAATTTTCAGCCCTTAACCCGGCACTGCCAAGTCAGCATTAAACCATGTCCCCAGGCAGCACATCTACAAGTCCTTAAATACCTCCAGGTACTGGTGACTCAGCCATTTCTCTGGGCAACCTGTTCCAATGCTTGACAACCCTTTCAGGGAAGAAATTTTTCTTAATATCCCTACAACTTCCATACAGCTAATGTTGCTTTACTTATAATTTCAGAACTCCATGAAGGTGATGTTCAAATGCCTGTGGAAGAACTGTGGGAAGGTGCTGAGCACAGCTGCAGGGATTCAGAAACACATACGGACCATTCACCTTGGGTAAGAGACCAGTCTTTTTGGGAGTCTAAAGGATTTGGTGTAGAAGAGGAGCAGTTGCCCTTGGCTGGACACATATAGTGGATTGTCCTTGGCTTCTCTGTCTCATATCCCTCTGTTTCTGAGAAAATTGCAGAATAATGCGTCAAGGTGAATGAGCACTTATTCCAACAGCAAGGCACTTTCTTTCCTGGAGTTCTGTCAGCTTTGCTAGAAGGTCAAATAGAGCTTGAGGTTACACTGCACTTCCCTGTCAGCTGTACAGCTCAGTGCCATTACATCATATGTGCTGTCTGCACATCATGTCTGAGGTGACACTCTGTGGTAGACAGATTCGGGGTCTTGCATGAGTACTTTTCAGCTTTGTTTCACATCAGTCAGGTGCTTGTGCTGGTTCTGAGTTGAATTAATGCTAAAAAATTATTAATGCCAAAAACCCCACCAAAACCACAAACCACAGAAGAAACCTGAAAATAAAAGGAAACAGAGCTGCATGTTGTCATGGTTTAAAGTACCACAAAGCTTTCACTCACTATCCCCTCCCTTTCCTGGAAGAATCAAAGGAATAAAGAATAAATCTCAGGGGTTGAGACAAGAATAGTTTAATGGCTTAAAAAAAATAAAACATTGGTGATAATAATAACAGTGATACTAATGACTCTAATACTTCTGAGGAAAGGGGAGAGAGAGAAACAAAACTGAAGAGAAACGAGTGATGCACATTACAGTTTCTCACCACCTGCTGACCAATGCCCAGCCTGTCCCCAAGGAGTGATCAGCACCTCCCAGCTAGCTCCCTCCAGTGTATTTACTGAACATGACATCCTATTGTATGGAATATCCCTTTGCCCTGGATGTGCTTCCTCCCAGCCTCTGGTACCCCTGTTCACTGGCAGAGCATGGGAAACAGAAAAGTTCTTGAGGTAGAGTAAGCACTGCTCAGCATCAACTAAAACATCAGTGTGTTATCAGCACTCTTCTCATCCTAAATCCAAAAGACATCTCTAGGTCAGCAACTTGGAAGAAAATTAACTCCAGGCCAGACAAAACCAGGACACACATGTATGTTACTTGGACTAGAAGCAAAAGCAAGTTGATCTTTTAGGAGACAAGTTTGTTTCAGAGCCTTAGTTTGCAACTGAACTCTCCCATGTAATTCACTGAGTGATGTACTTGTCTTATTTATAATTACAGTTGGGACCCACGGTCTGTACCTGTTAGGTGAAAATACATCTCTGTTCTGTAGGTCTGTGTTACCCACAGCTTAAAAATTAAAGCCACCACAAGTAAGATCTGGAGCTCAGGATGGTCTTGAAGAGGTCAACAGTTACTGTTGGGCTTAAGAGTAAGGCTGTGGGAAACAGAAAATCCCTCTCAAAATGCAGTTAGGAATGTTGATTTGTGCTTTATGTTATGGGGACATCCTCTTTGTGGTGTGGGAGAGGCAGAAATAAACAGCAGAACCTTTCTGGAATTTGCTGGAGCTAGAAACTTTTCTGGAAAAAGTAGTTTTGGTGAATGACTGGCTACATTCTGATGGATGGTACTTCTGGTGGAGCCTTTCAAACCTGCTGGACCTGTGTTCTCTCAACGAGTACTGGTTTGGTCTTCAAGAGAGCATGTAGTCTGCTGGGAGCTACTGCTTTGACTGGGTTGCTTCACTGTTAGCACTTGTGCTCAAATGCACATCAGGTGAAACTTTAAGGCAATTAAACCTCCTACATGCCCTCCTTCAATAAATCTGCCTCTGGAGAGCAGGACCAGAAAGTCCTGGCCATGGCAAGCCAGCCCATATGAGTGCTTCCTCTGTGTCAGAGTGAGTTGCACAGTGAGACTGTTTTCTAGCAAATTCTTCCATTATGTTACAGAAAGTTACAGTGAATGGCAGCCGTAAGTATATTTGATATAATTAAGTAACTTCTGATAAGATTGCATGTTGTTTGCTGTAACATGAGTGAAGTATATCTTGCCTGTGTCTGTTATCTTTGCTGTGACCTTGAAAGACAGAGTGCATTGAGATTCTTGTTCGTTTTACAATAGTTACAAATGAGAACCTGATACTTGGTCTCAGAGAGTCAAACATCTACTCCAAAGTGAAAGAGTTGGTCAAGAATAACACAGAGAGGGGAAAAAAGTAATTCCTACTTCTTTTCCCTTCAGATTAGATGATTTTCCTCTTCCCCTTACCTGCAGTCAGAATGCAGATAGAGTAGGAAGGGTTGAAAACTGCAAATATTAATTTATTTGCAATATTAATATATTCACTCATGCATCTAGAACTTAAGATTTACCTCGGGGCTCTTGCTTTCAATGAATTCTTACTTCTTTCTCTTGATACAGACGTGTAGGAGAGTCTGACTACAGTGATGGAGAGGAGGATTTTTACTATACAGAAATCAGGCTCAACACGGACTCAGTAGCTGATGGCTTAAGCAGTCTTTCCCCAGTGTCTCCATCTTTAGCATCTCCTCCTTCCTTTCCCACCCAAGACGCAATCCGTCCTGAAACTTCCTGTGCCAAAACCGAGACTAAAGTGATGACACCTCTGAGCCGCTCAGCTCCTACCAACCTCTACCTCGTACACACGGACCATGCTTACCAGGTAACACCAGTGGTGTGAGCTCCAGTGGTTACACTCATCTCACTAATGTGTAAAGAAATGTCACATCACAGTGTTTGGGTTTTAATGGGCTGAAAGGTGTCAGAACAGGCAAAGGCATTTTTTTAATTTAAATTGAGATGTATTCTTCATTGTTTGTTTGTTGATGTGTCTGCCACAGCCGATGGATTTTGGGGTGCTGTTTATCCAGCCACATATAGGTGCATACTTCAGGTTGAGAAGAGTTGATCTGTGTATCCCACTGCCTACATCAGTTCAATTTTCACTGACCATAAGGAGAACCCTAGGTGATATGCTCAGATGGCATTTCCTGCATTGTAAAAATTCCAATCCAATCAGCTGAATCCCACCCAGAGTCTTCATTAAAGCTTTGTTTTTATTGAACAAGTACAAGTTCTGCTTGAAGTGTCAACAAGTACCCAAAGAATGCCAGGAACAATTAATTTCCTGTTTTTGTACAGTGTGAGATGTCAGTTTGCAGTTGTAAAGTAGAGCAGGAAGAATGAAAAAGCAAATATGGTACCTTCCTATTTTTGGAGGTGATGCTTTTCAAATGGCAAAAACTGCTGTCCTAGAACATTCCAGCTATGTTTTGACAGAAAGCATTAATTACAAAACTGCACTAAAACTTGACATGTTTTGGTCTGAATACCATAAGATAAAAGAGGAATAGAGGCTTTGAAGTAGTGTGGTCCATAACCTGCGTATGCACTGGAGAACTGAACTTTGTTAAATGTATCAGATTCAATAAGTATCATATGTAGCATTGTGCAGATAAAACTTTTGTGGTGTGTTTGGAGCACACCTACGAAAAGGTCAGAAGGAGCTGTAGAGAATTCACAGGCTTGTTTTAGACTTCTGTGCTTGTTGAAAAGCATGGGTGGAAGCTTGACATTGCAGTTGGAAGCTGCATCAGGTAGCATGCCAGCCTGGGGACTGATGAAACCAGCTAAGAGAAGACTTCTTCTCAGTGTAGCTTAAGCCCTGTTTCTGAGTGTGAGGCAACAAATCCAGGCTGATGACATGTTTTGCTTCATTTGGGATTTGCAGTCATGACAGTCTGCCCTGCTGTTGGAGACCCACTCAGCTCTTTTTTACAAGCAGCCTCTGAGTAAAGCACTTGGCTAAAGAAATCCTAATTCAAGTGTTTAAAGTCCTTGAATTGGATTTGAATTGATGTATTGCATGACACAAGACTACAAGTGCCTGAGCCCCGTGGGCTTTTCAGGTTGCTCTGGTTTCAATGCTTAATTTCATCAGTGAGTGACACAGTCCACACTGTTCACAGTGTGCTAATTGGAACCAGGAAGCAAGGTCCCTGCTCCAGCATTCAGGCTGTCCTGGCAAAGGAAGCGGCTTCCTGGCTTCCATAAAGTGGCATCCTCTGCCAAGATCCCTTCTGCCCTGAAAGAAGGGCCAGGAGGCAGGGTGGAGATTCAGATTTCACCAGCTAGAGGAGAAAGTGGAGATTACTTCATTAGGACCAGCTCAAGGAACTTGCCTAAGGGAGGCTGAATATTGTTCATCACAGGATTCCTGTTAAAAAAAAAAAGGGGGAAAAAATACAGAACTCAAAGTTCGGCCACAAGAATCCTAAAGAGATTTGTTAATTGCCATTTCCTCTATGACTGGAAAACATCAAATAGACTACTTGTAGTGAAAAAGATATGAGGAAACTGAGGAAAGTCCTGATGCTCTTCCCTGACCCCATCCTATGGGTGAGAAATTATTTAGAAAAATAATAGAAGAAATTCTGGAAAGTACAGCAGTTGAGGCAAACTGCACTGGGGGAGCCCCAGAGAAAGATGGTGCAGGAAGCAAAAGAACAAATCCCTCTGGATTCAAGGACAGCATTTGATCTTAAAACATATAGGCAGTATTTGTTAAGCAGGAGATTAAATTTAGTGTAGGAGAAGGAGCTGGAAAGTCACAGAGAACAGCAGTGAGTTATTTTGAAAGGGCCTTTGAATGTCATTAGTGGAGTTAAATGAAAAGCTGTTCTTGGCCCTGATCTCACTTTCATTAAATCATTTTGGTAATACACAATTACTGTAATAAACTTCACTGATAACAAATTTGGGAGACATCAGCAGTAAGGAAGTTATAGATCAGGCTTACGTGACTGGATGGTCTTAAGAATAATAGGTTTTGGATGCAGTTTAATGTCAGAACATGCAAAGTCCTGCATCTAAGGAACTAATGAGATTTTTCTGCTATAAACTGGGGTAGTTAGAAAATTATGTAAGAAGGAAGCCTATGTTCATTAATCAAGCACAGAATGACTTTGAGCCAACAATAACAGAGCTGTGAAGGGGGAAAACAATAGTTGTCAGCTCTCTTGGATAAGAAATACCTAGGAGAGAGAGGGGTTTTTGATGCCATTATACAAGACCCCCATATAACTTCAGCTGAAATCCTGAGTTAGAATTCTGGTCAGCCAAATTTGATGTGATGGGGTCCAACCAGAAAAAGTAGAAAGAGAACATAGAGGACATGGGTGGCCTCTCCAGTTCTAGGACTGATACCTCAGGCAAAGCAAGGGACAAGAAGAGGATGGAATTGCTGCCTGGGAAGAAAGTGAAAGGACAGACATAAGAGGGGAAGAGGATGAGCATGGGCTATTTCAGATACAAGGGTAATGTTGTCACAAATAAATGCAAATTATTCATTAGTATATCTTGATTGGCAATTAGATGGAGGTCTCTAAGCAAATTAAAGTTGGGGTATAGAAATTTTTCAGTTGGTTGTAATGATGTAGTTGCTTACTTTATGAAAGAGACTGACCAAAATGTTAGCCTGAAAAAGCAGACTGGGCTTGAGAAGCAAAGATGCACATCTGGGAAACAAGTGAACAAGGTGTTTGACTATCTCAGTCTGATCATGTCTGAGATAGATATTCAGGCACCAAGAAAAAGGAATTGAGCACTATGGTATTTTAAGCAGCTGCCAATTGTGTCAGTTTTAAACTTCATGTTTCTTTACAAAACTATTGCCTGTACCAGTTAAATTTAACTAGAGGAGCTACAGGCAGGCTCTTTCAGCACCTAGGATTTCCTTTCCAGGTCTTTCTCAAATACCTGAGGAAGTTACTGAGCTGACCCTGGGTCTGAGCTGCCGTCCTTGTGAGATACTGAGCAGAGGCAGTGCTGCCTCAGTGTTCATCCAGCTCTCTCCAGTTCTTTCTGTCTGGAGCTCTATGGTCATTCACTCCTTCACATTTGAACAACTACTGGTACAATTTGAAGTTGCCAAATTGTTCTTGACACCTTTCAGAGAGGTTTTTATATTTTATGGAGCTCAGTGGATGTTTGCTCTTCATGTCTGTGGATTTTCTTGGAGCTGTCAGCAGCTTGGCAGCCCACAGAGCATCGCTGTCATACACAGAGGCATCTGGTGGTCTCACCTTCCTTTTCCTGGAAAGTCTGTAGGGGATTGCTTCAGCCTTTGTTTACTTGTATTTGTAAGATTAATGGGGACTATCAGGTTGTAGTTTGTCATCACTCCTCTCTGCCTGGTGGCTCAAGGAAGCACTCTCTTCCTGAACCAGTGAGACAATTTCAGCAGCCCCAAACACAAACACTGCTTAAATGAGTGTATTGTGTTATTGTCAAGTACCATCAACTGAAAGGCAGAAGTGAGAACTCATTTTAGCAAATTCTTTGTAAGTTTAAACCAAGAAGGGTTCTTTTTTGTGGTGACAGCTTGAAATTCAAGGGTCAAAATGAGCCTTTGTTCATGCTGGCTGCTCACGCTCCTGCTAGGCAGGGTAGCTACACAACTATGAATTTCATGATTCTGAAAATTAAATGTGATTAAAAAAGAGACAGGGAAAAATTCATGGAAATTCATAATCCAGTGAGAAAACCAAAGGAAAGGCACAACATGAAAAATGCTCAACGGTCTATGCTCTGGCTATCGTCCTTGTACCCCAGGGCAGCACAGGGTATTACAGCCCAGTTGGGAAGAACATAGGAGTTCAATGAGCCCAAATACTTGCTTCAGTTTAGTATTTCAAGAGCTGTTTTTTGAATCCAAAGGATGATTTACAGATCCTTGTTCTTAATAGGAAAAACTTTTAATTGGGATGACTCTGAACATTTTTATGATAAATGAGAAATGGCCAACACTTACTGTTAATCTCTTCCATGCAAGAAGCCTTGCCATCCACACTAAAATTGTGTAAAACAACTGCAATGAGTTTAAGTATAGCCTTGTTTATCACTGTGGAACAAGTGGTCATCTCGTGAGTAGTTTTTGCTTCTTGCTGTCATTATTTTAAGTTACTTGTATGTGACGTTTGATTTTGTCTGGTTTTTTAACAGATCCAGCTCTTAAAAGTTTTCTATGGATTCTTTTGAGAGCAATCATCTTTCTCTAAACAAGGTTCAGGAACAGTGGTGTATATATATAGCTCTGTCCCTTCCTTACTAGCTTATCCATGATTATCCCTCTCACAAGGGTAAAATGCTTGTCACCATGGAGTTTTTTTATGCCTTGGAAAATCTCTCACATATTTACCATTTTAAGGAATGAAAGATCCTTTGGAAGAGGAATGGTTCTTCTTGCTGGAATAATACTTTCTTTTCCCACAGGCCACTCCTCCGGTGAACATTCCAGGGTCAGCAAAGTTCACTCCCAATGGCAGTAGCTTTAGCATCTCTTGGCAGTCGCCTCCAGTTACCTTCACCGGCATTCCAGTAAGTGCACATCAAAAAAGGAAAGAAGGAGAGAAAAAAAGATTTTTTAGATCTTTTTTGTTTGTTTCACAGTATGTAATAATGGAATTAAATGTGACACAGTAGATACCAAAAAAAAACCAAATTAAACATGTGCCTGAGTTTTCCAGCATGGCTGTTTTTAACACCTTTGTAACTCTATCAGTGCAGTTAGGTTCTTTTTGCATCAATGTCTAGAAGCAGACCATTGAATCTATAGTATCTATAGTATTTATATATTTTTTAAACTGTATGCTTACAGAAGAACATTCTGGTAGGTGCAGAGCTTGGCACTATGTGCTTCTTTTTTTTGTGCCACTAAGAGATTTCTTAAAAAAGTAGATGGAAAATCAGCCTGGTGATGGTTATGCTAACAGGCCAGTTGGATTCAGGCAGTGGGGCTGTTACCTAAATGAACTCTGAAGATGAAGCATTTTTGAAAGGCAGCTGAAAGAAACAATTAAATGAAATGCAAAGTCCTATTTGAGGAGGCTACAAGTATGTAGCCCCTACTAATAGCAGGAAAATGATGTTTTATACAGAAAATATGTATCTACTGCAATTTGTTTTTAATAAATATTGCAGTTTGATAGCTTTTTAATGAGGATGTATTCGATGGAAATTCAACACTGACCTTTCTTCAGAAAAGCTGGCATACAAGGCCTAATTCTATGAACAGTGATGCTAAAATCCTAAGGCATCAACAGGACTGCAGAAATGTGATATTTGCTTAAACACAGAATTGCAATGATTCTAAACGTGTAGTACACCACAGTGTAGGTGTGGTACTGTGGGGGAGTGAAAAACCTTCATTAAGAGTTGCAAGGGATTCAGCTTGTAGTGTCTGGTGTGGGGACTGCTGAAAGTAAATGCAAATCACTGTTTATGAGTAGTGGGAAATCTTCTCTATGATTAATAGAAATAAATATTAATGTAAAGTATCTTCATTTATTGGAAAGCACTGTTTTTGTGATAAATTCATATTCTCTAATCATAAACCTTTTTGATATCATAACATCATTTAATATTACACTTTATGAATTTATGAATTTTTAAAGTGTGTTATATAAGGCACATTGCTCATCCAAAGAACCATATAGCGTTTTTTCTCCTGACAGTGAATATTAGACAAGGCGATAAGAGATACTATTTCCCTCCCTTCTCTTCACCAAGTGAATCTCCAAAGCTTCTTACTGTCAACCTTTGGCAAATCTTGGAGATTTTCTGCAGAGGCTGTGGCATCCTGCAGAGCTGATAAAAATGAAAGTGACTGAATCAATTACACTGCACTCTGCCAATGAATATTTATTAAATTCCATCAAGGAACAACTAACAGTGAAAGACATCATGCTGGCAGCAATTTCAACAAGAGTGCCTTGACAGAGCGTGCTATCCGTAGAGTTCCCTGAGAATTTGATTTCCCAACAATGGGGTTGATACGGAGTAATTATGAAACTGGCTCCTTTTGTGAAGTAGCAAAAACTGGTGCCAGGAGTGTTGGGAATCTAAAAATGCAATTAGTCACATTGTAAATCAGACACTTAAGAGGGCAGGATTAGACACGTATGTGCCAAGTTTACTTGTTCAGGCAACAACGCTGATCTGTGCCTGTAAAGTGGAGAGTTCTCAATAGAATTTAAGAAATACTAAATCACTTTCAGAGAATTTGATGGAGATGGCAATGATTTAAGTACAATTTGAAAATAATCCCAATACAAAAACTGGGGGAAGCAGTGATGCAGAATTATAAACTGCTCAGGGAACTGTTTGAACTGCCATTATAGCTCTAACAACATTTATAAGACTGTTTAACAAAGAAAAAAATAATAATAAGAAAAAATCTTCCAGGTTTGCACACATTTGACTACTTTGTCATCAGTGTGATAATGTATGAATTAAAAGATTTGACTGCAGTGAAAAATTTTGTGCAATAAGTGACGGTACAAATGCAAATTTATGTTAAATATATGCATATTAAATTAAAGTTTTATTTCTCTTTCAAAGTAAATTAGATATTGCTTTACAAAATCAGGGGTCTGGCAGTTCCCACCCTTACACTGAGTGTAGGTACTGAATGTGTAGTGTACTACTACATTCAGACTTCCTTCTTCTCTAATGGGGTTTATTTAAGGCCAGACTATGTGAGAGAGCCAGGATAACAAACTCACACAGTTGTGATATACATGGTCCCTGAGATGGGACACAAATCTGTAGAACCCAAGGGAATCTCAGAGAGCAAGTCCAAACCATTACTTTTTGTCTGACCCTTAATACTGAAGCAAATAGTGTTCTAAAATGGCTTTGGAATACTTTTCTGGCCTGGACTAACCACTGAACAGGAAAATATTAGGTACAGATTTGAAAAAGTGCATTGGTTTACATATTTTAATATAGTCTCCTTTCACATTTATTTTTTGACACATACTATTTCCCCCTTTCATTCCTGTGGACATTGAATTTCAATGACATTGAGCACTTCCTGCCTTCTCTCCTGAGAATTGGGGTATTCAAACACCAGGAGTTGCATTAAGTCCGTGTTTTCAGAAAGTCTTTAGCAGAGCAGCACTGAAAGACCTTTGTGAATATGGGTGTACTTATCTGAGTACTTAACTGAGCACTTCAAGACCAGCCATACATGCTGCTGGATCAGTTGGGCTCAGTATGTGGCTGCTCTAGGTTCAGGCACTGAAATGTCTTGTAGTCATAAAGGAGGAGAAGTGGCCAAGGTCGCTTGGTCTGTTCAGCCTGAAGAAGAGGAGACGGAGGGGAGACCTCATTTCAGTTTAGAGCTTCACTGTGAGGGAAGAGAAGGGGCAGGTACTGATCTCTACTCCATGGTGACCAGGGACAGGACCCGAGGGAATGGCCTGAAGTTGTGTCAGAGGAGGTTTAGGTTGGATATTAGGAAATGGTTCTTCACCCAGAGTGGGTGAAGTGTTTGGGCAGTGGAACAGGCTCCCCAGGGAAGTGGTCACAGCACCAGCCTGGCAGAGTTCAAGAAGTGTTTGGACAGTGCTGTCAGGGACATGGTGTGACTCTTGGGGATGTTCTGTGCAGGGCCAGGAGTTGGACTCGATGATCTTTGTGGGTCCCTTCCAACTGAGGTTATTCTGTGGTTCTGTAATTAGGGGAACCTCCCAACGCCTTTGTGCTGTGAATCATGCATAGGTTAAATTCCAAGGCAGATGGGAAATACCCTTTTTCATACCATTTTTCTAAGGTAACTTTGCAGGTGAAAGGTTGAATGTTGGAACAGTTATGAGCATTGCGAGGTGTTGTTCTTTGCATGAAGCAAAAAGGACAGACTGATTGTTCTACTCAGCCACACTCTAGGGATGCATGAGGAGAGTGAATTAAATTATGCAAATGGAATGAGCCATGGTGAAGTCCATATGTCTTGGTACTGGAGGACTTAACATAATGACTATGTACTGCCACTTCTGTGTAATGTATGGTAAAAGTCTTCCTGAATGTCACTTTGATCTCCAGCATCTGATACTTACATCTGCCTGTGATACAACTCAAAAAGGTTGAACAGGCAAGATCTTTGATAATCTGATGTTTACAGATCAGAAATCTTCTCTCAAACCACAGCATCCCCCCAGGAGTTGTAACTGGAAACTCCAGGTCCTTGCTTCAAACAAACAGCGTTATTTCACTCTGCATTAGACAGTGCTTCGTACATGAAAAGCCTCCAAGGGCAAGGATTGCCTTCTCAGGACTTGCTCTTAATCTGCTCTTAGTGTTCCCTATAAAGAGCAGCTGACTGCTATTGTTTAGACCTGCAGCAAAGCCTATCACAATACACTAAAGCTCAGCTTTAGTGCTGTGTAGCTGCCTTGGCGTGCCAGTCTGTGGAACCATTGTGCAGAGACCCTCTCAGGAGAGTGCAAGGGAGGAGTCTGCATGCTGTAATTACTGCTCCAGCCTGATCTCTGTTTGGAAGTAAGCAAGATAATTGCTTATAACATAGGAGGCCATCCAAGTACTCTTCTGTTCAATGACAAGCGGCTAATATATTGAGTGTCAGTTAGGAGTGGTAGACAGAGAATAATGTTTGGTTTTTTAAATGTTTCTGAACCCTAGCACAATGACTGGAGATCTCTGGTTACTGGTAATGACTGGAAGGAAGACTATACCATACCTGACTGACCAGAATGTGTCTGGTGAATGCCAAATACTAAAAAAGTGCTATTGCTTTGCATTTTATCTTCAGTGTTTCAATGATTATTAGGTAAAACATGGAAAGTGGTTGATAAAAATTTAGAAAAAAGTAGCAGAGAATAAGCTGCCTTTAGTATTCTGGAGGGATAGAACAAAAGGAGCTAATGTGGTCTTTGGATGTACAAAACATGATAAGCTGGCAGAGAGATCAGAAATTTCTTCCGAGTTTTGCAGATATATTTTGTATATCAGTAACGGTCTAAGTTTGTTCAGAGTGTGAGCCATGTACGCAGTTAAATCAAAAATTTCTCTTGCTACTAGCCAAGAGTAAAAGTTGAAAGAGTGTCTGCACTCAATTACAAACATTAGTTTTTTGCTGCTATTGAGTAGCTTTAAAACAGACTTTGTATCAAAAATCAAAGCACACACAGTAATTCTCTTCAATTGAGGTGAGTGAGTTCCCTCTCTTCCAGATGTTGTAGAACTTGAAAAGGGCAGGAGGGAAAAGTCATAGCAGTGCAGAGAACTATGACCATATCTGCAGTTCCTGGCAGCAGGAGGCCAACTGTGCACTAGATGCTACATTCAATATACAACAAAAAAATGAGCACTCAGAATTTTTTCTGGTATTTTAGATGTAAAGTGGTTGTGGACTTCACACAGGAGCAAAATAAGTCCATAGTAAAATAATTTAGGTATTATTTAAGGCCAAGCTTTATGCCATGTGATCACTTGAATGATGTTGCCCAGCCCCCTGCTCATGTAGGAGACTTCTTTGGAAAGCCTCAGAAGACCAAACTACACCTTCCCTTGGAAACATTCACAAAGAGGACACCCGCTGGGAAGGTTTACTGTGCAGGGTAAGGAGATACATCTTGTTAGCAGCTTTGGTCAGAAGGGCTGCATTGTGCTCCCTGCCTGTTAAACCTCTAGGGGCCCCACTGTAAGTGCTCTTCAACAAACCCTCTTCTCCAAGGGTGTCTCTCCACAAAGAGTACCAAGTGACAGACAGGAGCAACAAGTGAAATCCCTTTATTTCATAGGAGATTAGTGGTATTGATCTCACCACAGGACAGAGTTTATTTTTCCATTTATTTTCTTTGCTTAAATTGGAGAAGGTTTTCATAGGAGCTATTCAGAGTTTTTAAATAAGAATGAATGTGTTTCTTGTCTTTTCCAAAACCTTCAGTGATGCTAATCTGTATTTTGGATTGCTCTAGGAGAATGACTGGAAATACAGGGAAACAAAGAGAAGCTAATGTAATGTACCTAATGCTAAATTAACTTTTCATTTAATTATGTTTGTATGTTATGTAGTCACCTTTCCTGGGTATCCTTGCCACCATGCAGCATAATTTGCATTTTCTTGGAAAAAGTATTTATACTGCATTCACATGTGTATGTTCTTTGTAAGCAGCTTTTTTGTCTGTATTGACAGGTCTCACCAACCCATAATCGTCCTGCAGGGAGTGGAGAGCAGAAACAGTCCCACACAGTTCTTTCATCACCGCCTAGAGTAGCATTTGGCTTGAGGTATGGGACCATTAGCTCCTGCTGACACTACAGCCTCACAACCTGGAGGGTATTCAGTAAATAAGTTGTCAGTGGCCAGAGAATCAGAAAAAAGCCCACCACCAACCCTGATTGCACTTGTCAGGCAGGTTCTTGCTAGAGATCTTCAAAGTAAGCATTCAGAACCTATTTTCTTTTTGCTACCATCAAAGGTAAAGTTCAGCTGCACTGTCTGGCTTTGCACTTTTCCCTGAAAGTCTGGACTGATGTGTTTATCACCATTCAGTCAGAATGGCATTTGGCTTTGAATGAACTATAAGAAGCCCTGTCTTACAATAAATTAGATTAAGGCAAAGATTTTTATGCCTTGTCTTCCTAGACATAAGCTGCATTCATTACCACTAAATTTAACTGATATTTGACCAGAATTTACTTTTAAAGTGTTCAAAAAGTTAGGTTAAAAAATCAGACTGTAATGCTAAATTTCTTGCAGTAAAGAAACTCCTTATTTTTCATAGTCCTAAAGGTCACTGTACCCTAAAATGAGGCAAAAAGAAAATTTCATGCTTTTCATTTTCTTCATGACTCTCAGATCATTGCATATGCTACAAACCAAACTTGGGATTTTCCCAATTCATGGATTGTGCCCATTAATTAATATTCAGTAATCAGAAAATATGTGGATATGCAAGAAAGGAATCCCATGTGTGCCATGCAACATGTAAAACAGGTATTAAACAGTTCTGTTGGTACAGTTACTTTAAAAAAAGATTCTGAGACAGGTGGCATTGCAGTAGTGAATGTTGGATTGCTTGGTGAAGCATTGCTCCTCAGGTTTGCTGCCTTGCTGTGTGTTGAATTAAAAAATTCATTTTAGCAGTTACTTGGATCATTTTCTAAACTTGTGATCTTTCAAGTGTGGTTGTAAGTTGGAAAACAGGACAATTGTTACAGCTTTAAAAGCAGGTGCTGCCCACCTTGCTGGCTTTGGGGACCACAGAGAAGGTGCACACAAGAATGTGCTGTGAGTGAGAGCAAGGGTTAAAACTTCCCACTCACTTTGTTGTTTTTCAGTCAATGAGCTCAGAGCAAACTGCAGGAAGGACCAGCAAGGTTAGGAGCTGGTAGCTTTTCTCTGCTTTGGCATAGCTGATACCTGTTGATGGTCGAGGTCTGCTGCTCTGAGCTATTCCAAATATTTTACCACAGCTCTGCAGCACTTCAGCCTGACATGGCCCAGCCTGTATTGTGGAACAGCTATGACTGCCCATTACAGCGTGGCACTTCATGTGGCTAAAGTATGATTTACTAAGTCCAGGTTTAGTTGCTGGCTAAAATCAGGGCAGTATGTTCCTGAGATCATCCCAGGAGCAGAGGAGCAGGCTCAGCAGCTGCTGCAGAAGCTGTGGAAGCCAGGCAAGGAGAAGGCCTGGTCCCTGAGAGTGATGGAGTCATGGCCATACATGTGTCTGTCACTTCATCAGCTCCCAGCTGGAATGAAACCAGCCCAAACCCCTGAAAGGCCATGGGTTCTCCGCCTCCTGCACTCCATTGAGTTTGTTGTCCTGGTCTTAGGGTGAAAAGCAAAACTACTAAAGCATCTCGTTAACGAGCTTCCCTTTCTCTCTGACAGGAAGCCTAGAGGGGAGGGGAAAAAGTGTCGGAAGGTCTATGGGATGGAGAACAGAGATATGTGGTGCACTGCCTGCCGATGGAAGAAGGCCTGCCAAAGGTTCATCGACTAATGATTGAAATTATGCAGAGGATTTGGGGAGGGGGAGGACAACAGCAGAAGCAGATTGCTGCAGCTGCACTGATCACTTCCCATTTTCCCCTCCAGTGATGTGGTGTTGGGGGTTTTGGTTTTTTGGGGTGGGTTTTTTTTTCTTTGGTTTTTTTTGTTTGTTGTTTTTTTTTTAAAGAGCTTTGTATTTCTAAATGAAGCACTTGTAGCCAAGGAGAAGCACTAATTAAAACCTGTGTGGAGCAATAGAGCGGAAAAAAAAGAAAAGCAAAACCAAGACCACACAACAAAATCTGTCTCAGTAAGTGTGGAAACCAGAGCAGCTATTAGTGTTCTTCTGTAAAAGAAAGGAAAATGTTAATTATTTTGCTAACTCTGTGAGCTGCTTGCTCCCTAGGATCATTTTTAACCATTTCAGTCTTTCTGCTGTGAACATCTGTATTTGCTAAACTGAACAATTTTTCTTTTCCTGAAACGAAGATCTCTTTTTGAAAGCTTTCTAATAAACACTTCAGAGTCATATAAGCTACAGTTTTCTCAACAAAAGCTGTACTAAGACTGGAGACTGCTAAATAATTCTCCTGATACAAATGATCATGATTATATTTTTGAAAAGGGCATGTGGGGAAGAGTTGGGATTTTCATTTGATTGTTTATAGGAGAAAAGTAAAGCTGATTTTGCAAGAAGGACAAGCAGCACTCCTGGAACTTTTTTAAAAGAGGCACAGACCAGTGGAGTGGAACAAAGTAATTTAAGTACCAAATTGGATTTTGATCCTCTAGAGGAAGAAAAGCAGCAATGGCAAGTCACCAGCAGATACTGTCACGAGAAGTCTGAGGGAAGAAATACAGTGATGCTTGATTGAAACCCACAAGGATATAAGGGGGCTCCAGTAGCTTTTCTTATTACTCTCCCCTTTCTGAGGGGGGAGGAACAGTTGGACCAGCACAGCTGTTGCTGCAGGAGGCCTGTGAAAGACTGGTAAATGCAGCCATGAGGATTATATGTAATAACTAATTCAGGGAAATGATCCAGCCCAGCAGTTCTGCTTTTGCTTCCTTTTCTCTTATTTCAGAGATTGTTGTTAAGATAATGGTTTGTTCAGCTTTTTCTTTTAAAGTTTTACTTTATACTAAGATTTATTTGATGCAAAAAATTGGTAGAGAAAAGAAAATACCCTCTTTCCACAACATCATCTCAGAAAAAGAAGTACAACAGCAAAGGAGCAACATATTTGTGGTAAAAGACCATTTCTTAACTCATTTTGATAGATGAATTTCTCTATTTGCAGTGCTTGGATTGCTTTGGGTATTTCAGTTTCTCTGTCCATTAGGAAGTATACACTGGAATGAGGCAACCTGGTGTTCTGTGTCCACTTGTATCAAATTACTGTTAATTAATGATTATTTCAGTGCAAAAAATAAAGGAAGGATTTACTAGGAAGTGAATGTACATGGCGAAATAATACTTGTCTGTTAAAGAAAACCAGACATCTTAAAAAAAAATCAAAGACACAGAAGCAAAACTTTGCCTATTAATAGAGACTGAAGGGCCACAAATGCCTGGGTTATTTTTTTTTCATAACGTTTGAACCAATTGAAATTAGACCAAATATTTTTCTATTTTTGTTAAATTGTCTAAGCTGGCTCATTCTCATAAGAGGACTTCTAAGTATCTAAACAACTTTCTAAAATCTGGTCCAAAGTTCACTTGATAGCTTTATTAAGTGTGAAGCGCTGCTTGTGTCTGTGTAAAAGCACAAAATAACAATGCAGTTGTTTGGAATATATATACACTGTGGATTCCATAGGGTAGCAGTGAAAAGAAGAATCTATAATAGGAGCTACTGAAGGTTATCATCTGATTTTCTGTGAACAAGTTAATTGGGCAATCAGGCGCCTAATTTGAGCATGCTATTTCTGCAGTTATTTACAAATTGTGTAATTTACATGCACAAGTGGCAAGATACGCTTGCATGCATGCAATTACTTGATTTTTTGCCCAATTGTGTTCTCTAAGTCACAAAAAAAAAAGAAAAACAGTCTCTGAAATCCAGTAAGACCCTGAGATATATGCACATATGAGTGTATATGAGTATTTTTGCATGTGTGTGTGTATATACATGTAAAACTATATATATTATATAGTTTTATATGTGTATATAAAATCTGAAGTTAACAGGGAAGAGAAAGATTGTTTTCTTTACAAATAACAAAAAAAAAGACACTAAAGGTCAGCAGATATACATAGACACTGTATTATCTTCTTTCCTCTTAGTATACATGGATTTTCCTTACATGTTGTATTTTTTCAATTTCCATGGTTAAATACCTCATAGTAATTCATAGACATTTCATCTTCAAACACTGGGCTTGCTGATGGTGTACTTGCTTTGATAAAACTCAAAAAAATTGTGACTTTCCTAAGATATTCCTGCCAATTTGTTCCCTGCCTCCCATTTTAAAGGCACTTCAAAAGTATAAAGTGTTCCATAATTTGACTGTTATTGGACTAACAGTATTTGCCAATATATTTGCTTTGGAGGATTCTTGAAAATAATGTATCAGATTGTATATTGTTTCTATAATGTCATGGCATTGTGAGCAACTTTCCCGAGGGCACTTTAGGAATTATTGTAATAAGATTATTCTTTATAAATTTCTGCACAGAAGAATGGTTTTGTTGCCAGACCACATTGCCCTCTGGTACAAATTGAATATGGATTACATAAAGGACTAAAGCCACAAACCATCAAAACTGGAGAGAAAGTTGGTGTTGATGAGTCAGAAGGTATTGATAAATCCTGCAGGACAAAGCTAAATTACCAGTATTTTTACTCAACCTTTAATCAGTGGTTTATATTAAATCAGTTTTGGATCCTGTGGCTGTGGCATTTTGATTCACAAGTAGGCACCTGTTGAGGTACCGTGTCTGAGGCAAGGCCGTGCAGAGCTTCTGCAGTCACTTTGTGCTTTGAGCTCAGTTAACTCACGTTGCACGAGCAGTTCAGCGCCTGCCGAGATCCCCTGTGTGATCCTCACACAGCCAGCAAGGACAGAAGTGTCAGCTGAGCCTTGCTTCTGCTGGCAGTACTGATCATAATCTGGAGTGATCGTGTCCATTTTTCAGTCTCTTGTTTCTGTGTTGCTTTGGGCTGTGTCGCTGTCCTCCTAACACCTAATTTATCTCACACTTTGTACTGACCAAAATAAGCAGATTTCTTTGTTCTCCTGAGGAGGAGCTAGCCTGAGTGCTGAGGTCATTTATTGTCATCACTACATGTGATGACAGTTCCAGTTTTTGGTTTCTCTGGGGGAGGTAGGTCATTGTCTCTGACCCCCCAGAGAAGTCAGAGGGAATGTCTTGAACACATCATGCAGTGTCTATGTGCTACAGGGAACTGGATGGTGGTTTATCTATGTCAAGAACCAGAACCTGATATAAAAATTTAAGGATCTGTTTTATTGACATTGGTAACAGAAATTGCCAGCATCAGTATCAGAGTGGAGATCAACCATACTCATCCCAAATATTTTTCTTTAGGGGTTTCATTGTTAAAACAAAGCTATTTCCCAATTCCCCATTCACCCCATTTCCCAAAAGATTTGGAAAACTAGATAATTTTAGAAGTGGGAAATTTTAATGGCAATTTTCAATACTGACTGTGCTCCAGCTGCTCCTCTGTGAAGTTATTGAACATTAAAACTCAGATCATCTTAGTCATAAAAGGGTTTCCACACAAAACAATGTGCCTGATTCTCTAGTGCCTTGCACAAACGCTACAGGATATACAAGATGCAAAGTGAGTAAAATTTCTTCTGTTCCAATTTGCAGGTTTACACTTTTAACCAATACCAGTCATCACCTAGCACGTACCTGTTGGCAGGTCAGCCCTGCTTGTGTGACTAAGCTGAGCAGAATGCCTGTCTGTCAGATTACTTTTTCCAAATCCTTAGCCTGGTATGAATGTTAGCTGTCTAATTATCTACAGGTTCCTTGCAGTCATTGGCTATCTTTATTCCTTGTCCCTTTTGTTTTTCACAATAATGGCTAGATAGGCACCACAAGAGGAGGTAAAGCTTTAGCCAAAAGCTCTTGTAGAACCTGCACCATAGATTCCAGCACCATGCAATGTCCCAGGTGTTCTGGCACTAATTTCATTTTGTCATTCATTCTGATCCAGTACGTTGGGGTGGTTCTCTGTTGCCTGCTGTGGCCTGGGACCAGCTAAAATGGCCCTGTTGAGAATCCAGGACAATCGCTGTGAGTGTCACACTGCAAAGTGATTTCTTTCTTCTGCTGCCTGTAAACGTGTTGGAACATGATCTTGGAAGCAGGACATGGAATTAGAGGCTTGCTAGCCTCTTGCAGAGATGTTGGACGTTGCCAGTGAGGCTTCCTTCTATTGGTTCAAATTTAGAGTCATCTGCTGGAGAAAGTTGTGCTGCTCCTTTTCTTACAAATATTTTGATATGGAAACATTTGTAAAGCCTCATCTTGATCTTATATTTTATTCAATCTTCCTGTGAGTGGTAGCACTGGAACTGAGAGCAGTATGGAGTTTGGGCTTTAATCTGCATTTGTCAGGTTTTTCTAGTACATAACCAGGCAGGTATGAGGTATCATAGTGTAGATTTTATTCTAATACAAGTTCAGCAGAGTTTTATGGCACTTTTGGAAAATACCTAGAAGGAAGTCATGGACAGATATCAGGCTGAACATTTAAAAACACTCTCTGTCTCCTAGATGGGAGCAGCCTTTCTTTGCATCCATATGGAGCTGGAAAATCTTGGAAAACAGCCAATGTACACCTACACTTGAGAATGCCCACTTGAACTGCTCTTTCTGTCTTGGACCACAGTGCTTTTACTCCGACCATGCTCTCAGTTCTGTCCAAATGTGGGATTTAAGGAGGTGTGTGTCTGCACTTGAAACTTTTTGAGCTTGTTCCTCAATACAGAAAGCACTCATCACATTCTTTGTGCTTCACGCAGACCATTTGTAACAGCAATGCAGAAAGACTCTGGGAACAGGGAAATCAGCCTGTTTCTGATGGCACCAGCCAGAAGAAAGTACAAGTTGCTCTGGTGTGTTTCCTCACATTCACAGCAAGAATTTTTTCAGCTGATGAAATAGAATAGATAAATTTAGTAACAAGCTGGTGTTCTGCTGTTTTTTGACACATCTTAACACCTAGCATTTTCTCCTTCTGTATTTGAATCTGAAAGTGAGATCTCTCATATACCCTTGAGGGAAATAAACTTAGCAATATAAATGCTCTTTCAGCATTAAATCTGAATTCTTTGTGTAATTAACATCTAAACATGGGCTTGAACATTCTAAAGAGTTAGAGTGATGGTATTTGCTGCTTGCCAGTCCTCTTAAAGATTCAGGTTTGATTCTGGAGTCCTTAACATAGTATGTGATACCCAGCATCAATGAATATAGGATGTTTAATGGCAATAGCCAGATAAACAAAAGTTACTAAAGTGTTTGTAAAAAGCTGTCTCTGGAAGACAGGAAAAAAGAAAACAGTTGAAACAGATTTCCTCAGGGAACGTGAGAGGGCTGTAAAGGCAGAGGATGCGAGTTTGTTTGAATGGAAGATGTCTAAGAGAATGATTTTTTTTTTCTATTTTAGGCAAAATGAAAAAAGCAATATGTCACTACTTGAATTATTAAAATTAGAATGAAGCACTAGTTGATGAATATGATCTTACTTAGTGCTGTAGCTTAGGAAGTTCCAAATAAAATAAAAAAATGCATAAAAATACAAAAATTAGCTTAAACCATAATTTTAATGTAAATCTATACATTTATGTAAATCTTTTCAGGGTCTAGTGTAAATATAAGGGCTTCTTGTCTACAAAGTTGCTTGGTCAAAACATGCTTTTTCTGTAATTGAATTACTTCTTACCAAATGACTTCAGCAAGCAAATGCAAAAAAGCAGTATGTCAGCATGGTATCCTGGAGAGTTGTGTACTGCACTTTGCAAAGGGCTACTTCTACATGAAATTAAAAGAAAATATGTCATCGCATATTTTTTTGTCATATCTGCAAAGGTATAAGCTTCAGTAAACCCAAGGTTTTGAATTGGGCTGTCTAGGATTTTGAAATTCCACAAGTTTTGCAAATTCTCAATTTTGCTTTATTTTTACACAGAAGAATCCTATTTGATCCATAATCTTTTCCTATCGATTCTTTTTCTTGTGTCCAGGCACTCTGTTTTGCAACTTCCCAAATGTGTATAATGAAGTGAATAAAAATCAGCATCCTCAGTATTAAGAGCTACAAATGTAAATAGCATTTACATGGTATCAGAATTTTTAGTATCAGTTTTTAACTGTAGTAATTAATTCTTCAATTGATGCCAACAAATCTTTCAGGGAAGGGCAGCACATAGTCTGTAAATTACAAAGTACAACTGCACAGACATAGAACTGCTGGTGTTACAAGAATAAAACGTAGGCTTAGGTCCATCAGAGCACTGGAGTATGTGTTTACCTCCACTTGTGGAGTTTGTTGATGAGGCTCCTCGTGCTCCTGAAGTTTGGCACTGATTTTTGAGCTCTTCTGAAATCAGGTCTTGGCAAGAGCAGATATTCCTATAGCTTTGTCTGAAATATGCACTTTGTGGGACAATCTACCTTTTCCTGGATTTATGCAATTTATCTTTTAGAAGAACAGACAAATTTATAGAATTTTTTATTATGCTGTTTTGCATTGCAGAAGGGAAGGTGAGAAAGAGACAAGTTCAGCTGTACATTTCACCATGTGAAAGCATTGGTTAAGTTTGTAAAAGGTGTGTATTTGACATCAAGCTCAAAGAAACCTACTTGAGCTCCCTGAAAAAAAATACATGATAAGCAAGTCACATTAAATAAATTTCTCTTGTTCCAACAGTGTACCCTGTACACTCAACACTCCTCCAGGCAACTGGAGGCATAGGAGCTCTGAGTATGCAAGGAAATAAATGAGTTTACCTAAAAACTTTAGGAATACTGTGTTTTTAAGCCACAAATGATGTTGCCTATGTGTAAATTTTAGAAGAAAATAGACAGTAGCCTTATTAACCAGGTGCAATACTTACAAAGGGCTAAATTAGGGAAGCAAGTGATGTGTGTTTGTACATCACTGCAAGCATGCACTCTCTGAAAATGAACTTTTCTAGCACTGGGATCTTAATACCTCTCTGAAATTATAATGTTGGTATAATTTTGTAACTGCATATTATACATTATGAAACAGGATTTGGGAATTTCGAAGAACAAAAGGAAGAGGGAGAAATTGTAAATCACATAGACTAGTGGTATGTTATTTTCCATTATAAAAGTAAACTAAAACACTTTTACAAAGCCAAACAAATTCAGGATTATTAAAAGAAAAAAAAATCGACTTCCCTTGGTTACAGAAACAGTTTAGTCTGAAGTTTCCCTTGACTTGTTGCTTGCATTTTCTCAAAAGTTTTGGGATTTTTTGTCTTCTGATGGTGAAAACATTCCTAAATTACCTGTGTTTGGCTTGAATAGTATCATTTTGAAAAAAACTTCTAAAATTGAGTTCTTCATGATACTGTATAGTCTGAATGAGATCATACAACATGATCTGCTCCAGCTTAAGCAGAGAGTTCATACAAGCAGAAGATTACAGGAAAAGATTGCACTGAGCATTCATTGTTCAGTCATGAGAAAGACCTGAACAATCAAACTAAAGCTCCACTCATATTTCTTCTCTCCATCTGCACTGCAGGGTTGATGGAATACATACTGCCATGTACAGTGCATTTGGCTATCTCACCCCTGTTCGGGGATTTTTTTGCTGATAAATAATGAAATAGAAATCATCTTCCTATCTCTCTTACTGTTTTTGTCTTGTGCTCCGAGTCCAGAATTCACTGAAAGACAGAAATAATCAGGTCTTTTGCACAGAGACTGTTTGGTTCTTTCCCTGTTTGACAGACTTGTAACAAAGGGCCAAAGTACCAATGCAGAGACATTAGTCAGAAGGGGTTTGAGTCAGTCAGACTTAAGCTGAAAAAAATTGCTCAGAATTAGATCCCAGTAGGAGGAAACTAGTCTTAAGCAGTCAATTACAGAAGTTCTGGGGTTGATTTTTGGTGTTTTGGGGGTTTTTTTCGTAAATTACAAGTCTGATTAAAAGTCTTATTACACAATTAAGAGCAGAATGCAGATCACATTGTAACAAGCTGAGCCCTCACAGCAGTGCAGGTTTTCTCAGGAGAGTTCAGTTATTCCCATGAATAACTTCATTGACCAGGGCTGTTCACACAGGTAATGGTTGTAGAACAAAGGCACTTGGGTTTTCCTCTGTGTGCTTTCCACTGGGATTGGGATTGTGAAGCTGTGAATCTCCCTTTCTGAGGGCTTGATTGTGCATTCAGCTTTGTGAGAGGGATGGATACAGTGGATACCTCTGCTCATGTGCCGGGCTCTTGGAAGGGTTTCTAGCAATACCAAAGTGGCAGTACTCTGGATGTGTTACCTAGTGACAGATTTAAGAGCTGTTAGGCTGGTGGGATTCAGCCTGTAATCTACCCTAGATACCAGCCCCAGGGAAAAGGGGGTTTCTCAGTATGGGATCCAGGAGAGCCAGCCCAGTTTGAAAGGAGTCCACACCACCACAGTCCCTGTGCCCTTGGCTCAAGTGGGGCCTTTGCTGTGTCGAGCTTGAGGGAGGTTGGTTATCCATGTGCATTCATGACATGTTCATAGTACAGAACACTCTTTTGGAGAGAAAGAACCTCTTTTTTAGCTATTAAAATAAAACTGTGGGATAGCTTTTAAGTTACAGAAAGTCACTGAATGAGTCTCAGCACTGTCAGACTTGGAATCAGGCATGGTTATGTCCCTCCTTCCAGAGCCGTGCTGCAGCTCCCCTGGGGCCCTCACAGAGCCCTGGAACCTTAACCAAGTTTTTCCCAAACATTTGCTGGAACCCAGCACTGAGCCCTAAACCAAGTTGGACCCCCAGGAAAAGGAGGCTCTTTCCAGCTCTTTCCCAACTCTTAGACTACCTAAGTCAGTGTTTCATTAGTAGATCTTTCTAAAGGGGACATTGTCCCACCGCTTGCCTCCGGTATTTCTAACACAGCACCATCCACTGCTGCATTTGCAAGGAGCCAGACATCATCTTGGTCAGTCATGGAGTTTGGGGATATTATTTTAGATTTAGACCTCTGCATCCTGTGTCAGGCTGCAGTTCCACAGCCAGTTAAGGTGACATAAGCTTGTGCTGCTGTTGAAAAAGCTCTTACCCTCAGCAGAGGCATTTCTAGAGAGAAGTTTCCTGAGTTATGCTGGCTTGAGCCAGTCCTGTAAGTGTAGGTCTGTATAAATTGCTGTGGCCTGCTGGGTCTGTGTCCCTGCTCTTTCATGGGGCAGGCGTGGTAATACTGCCTTTATCCCACTCTGTCTTGTCTGGAGTCTCATTAAGGACCTGAACTTGCACAGACAGCATTAAACTCAGGAGTTCCACCTATGGCTGGTGGCATTGATTTTGGTATGAAACTAAATATATGGGGGAAAAGAGAGGAATTAGATCAATAATTGTACATCCAATGTGTCTTAAGACTGCATCTTAGCGGTGCCGTGATTTTGCTAAGCAGATGTTGGAGGAGTTAAGGGATGTGACAAACATTACTGGATCCGTGACCTCTGTAAATCTCTACAGAGGGCTGCAGAGTACCAGGGTATACTTCTTACCCAGACGTGGTAACAACTAGGAATGATCCTCAGCTGCTTTGCTAGTGCAGAGTTTCAGCCTCTTTTTATTACAGCTTCAGTTCAATAGTTATAGGAATGCTGGGCAAGAGGGAAAGGATCATCAGGTAACTGAAGAAAGAGGACCATCAGCATCAATTGCACTGTGGGTTTCTTTAACTCTCTGAAACAGCAAGCATGTTCTCTTGTCACTTGCTAGTCATGTTGGCTCATGTAAGAAAAGTGTTTCCATCCTAGAAGGGGGTGAATTTAGCAGAGGGTAAGCAGCTGTAGGAAACCAAAACCCCAATTTCCCAGATTTTATGAGTAAGGGATTTCTAAAACATTCTGCTTGCAGAAGACTGCAGTATTTATATCCACACATCCTTTTTTCTTGCTTCAGTCACAAAAGGGAAATACTTGCCTGCATACATTGTTCTTCCTTTGTTTCCTATCAAATCTTGTTTCAGAGAGTATAAAGTAAGTTCAAGTTCTTTTTTAAAAAACATTTTTTCTGAATTATTATTTTTAGAACCCTCTTTCACTTCAGTGTAAAATTACAGAGCTTTAATTTGCTCTGTATTGCACTTTATATATATTTTTCACTTTTTGGGCCATGTATTTTTATACACAGAACAATAAAGGTTTTATTAATCTAGTTTTAACTTGAAATTAACCATGAAACTAGTATGTTTTTATAAAAATGCAAGTTCCCTAAAATACAGTAAATAAATCTGTTTGGGTCAGAGACATTTTTAATGATACATTGAGAAATATTATAGCTTCTGAAATTATTTTCCATTTGATAAATTCAATACATTAATGGATATCATGGTTTAAAGTGGAATGTGAATGAGAAGTTCACAAAGTTCTAGACGGTAGATTTCCTTATATGCAAAACCTGCTTAGTTTAATTGATAAGGGTTTAAAAAAATAGCCTAATCTAGTTCAAAGAAGAGTGAAACCGTTTAATAGGCAAGTTTAAAATGCCAGGAGCTCACAGAAATTTGGAAATGAGTTTAAGTTAAGCACCCAGGAGCTGTTTCTCCCCCTGCTGTGCCGTGGGCAGCCTGTGGAGCCCCTGGGCTCTGCAGGCAGTGAGCTCGTGCCGGTACAGGGCAGCAGCAGAAGCCAC